TTGGAGAGTAACAGGGCAGTATGATCTCTGACTCTACCTCAGAAAAAGTGGAATTAGATCCAACTTAAAAATAATGAAACTGACCAGCAGCTTGTAAGTAAAAGAACTGAAATTAAAACTCAGGAATTGTGTTTGGAATTCTGTTTCCAAATTGGGTTTTAAGTTTCTTTATCTTATGCTATCTCCCTCCCCCTACCCGCACTGTGTCACCTGAAATTTTGCCTTCAGATGTTAATCCAATTTCTCCTTAGGAGATATCAGTCATCTAATTCCCACTCTAGCAGGGCAAAACAAACATGAGATTTGAAATCAGAAGACCTCAATCTGCCTCAGCTACTGGGGCAGTATGTGTACTACTGGGCAAAACACTTAGACTTCTTAAGCTCTAATTCCCTCAACAACTAAAATAAGAGTTTGCCAAAATGAACTAAATTCTAGAACTATAAGATGTTTTATAGTGACATTGTGATTATTATTATTTACATTGTGATCACATTTACTGAAAAGTAACAAAATGCTGGGTACTCTGTAAAGTGCTATATATTAATTTGTTACATTAATCATTACAACACCTCCCTAAAGAGCTATCATTTACCCCATTTTAAAGACAGAGAGACTGAGGCATAAGGAGGTTAATTTACTCATGATTGCACAGCTAATATGTGCTGAGTCAGGCTTAAAAACAAGACCCATCTGATACTAGATACCAAAAAGTATTGGCTGATAATGGCTTAAGATAAATCCCTTGTAGGTGTATTTAGTGGTTGACTCTAGAAGCACCAAAGTCTTCAAGATCAAAAGGAATGGAATTGAAGTTAGAATAATATATAATGCTGTTGCTATTTGTGGTACAGTGATATCAAAATCATCTTTTCCTTAATTCGTCTACTTGTAGGCCCTGACATCCATGGTTAAATGTAATACATAGTATTTCTTCACAAAGGAAAGAGTATTCTCTCCACTAGGACAATTCTTAAATATTTTAAGATTCTAATTACAAAAGGTGTTTCATCATATCAAAAAGGAAGAACGTTGTCAATAGGTAAAGAGAAAGATTTTAACATCACTAGGCCTGTAGGCTTTAATACATCTAATTTTTTTTTCATCAAATGATACATGTCCAAAGTTAGGCTGATCTAAAATCATGATAAAAAGAGAAATATATTTGTCTTTCTATCTGTGGGCATAGGAAAAATATTTAATTCCTTTACATATTAAAGTCTAATTTTTCTTAAAGCTGAGTATAGATCTGTTTGATTAAATTTATTATTGAGGTTAATAAAAGTAGCATTTTCCAAATGTATATATTCAGGTATGTTTCAGTCCAGAGACATTAGACATTATACATGAGAAACAACTATAATCAAATGACAGTAGGTCATTTGAAAAAATTTGTGTTTAGTGGTAAATGTGCCTTAAGAGCTTTAAAAAAGAATCCTTTAGCAAGGAAAAAAAGAGGCACCAATACAGAGTTCCACCACTAATCAGAACACAGACATCAATAATTCTACTGTTAAAGCTGAATAGTGCATCCAGAAAAATATCTTTTTGATGCCATTTTAACCTATTGTAAGTGATATGTCAGGCACTCTAAATAGTAATAAGTCATGAAAAATGAACTTTTAAAAATAAAACTATGCCAGAAATACTCTGTCCACAATACCATTTTAACTGGCTAAAGAGGAAAGGTTGAAATAGTAAAAGCAGATCAAAGCCGTTTTGGTTTTGATATTTCTATCAAAGCACATCCCATGTCTGATAACTTGTTTCTTCCATTACTTGACATGACTCTAACTGGACATTCCATAGTTAGCATTGCAATGTACTGGATTCAGATTGCTTCTGCTATAAAAAGGAAATGCAAAGAAAACAATAATGGTCTGTTCATGCTTCCTCCAGAGCTTTGCAAACAACGTAAGTGTTAAGAAGACAATAAGCTGAAAACAAAACTTACCTCCAACGAACCCCACAGTGAGGTAGAGCTCTACGACGGTGGTGCTGAAAGAGGCTGCGACCATGCCCAGGCAGCACAGCAAGCCTCCCGCTATCACCACTGGCCGACTGCCATACTTATTCACCAAAACACTACTTATGGGACCTGAGGGAGAGAGGAGGTTAAGAAATACTCAGTGACTGGGTCATTCATTTTTTAATATTTGTTCATCTTGAAGGCTGAGAAAGCATATCTCAATGACCAAAAAAAAATATAGAGAGTTCATATGGAATATAATAAAGACGTTGCAATACTTTCCAACCAGTTTGACTGGTTACCTTTAACCATACATGTGAAAGCACATAAAATAAATTAGAAGTGTTTAACATACAGTTTGTCATGACCATAATTATTCAACTTTTGACAGAAAAGTTTTTCAACAAGACATAGCTAAACTGTCTAAATATCTTAAGTGCAGGTAAATTTATGTAACAGAATTCTAGGGATTCTATAAATGACTTGTGTTAGAATTTTATTTTTTAGAATAATGTGTGTGAGCATGCACACATACAATACATGCCCTTAGAGTTCAATTTTTTTATTGTAACCTGCTATGATTTTTCTTTTTCAAAAAATATTTTTATTAAAACATTTATTATACAACATTATATCAGTTTCAGGTATACACCATAGTTATTCAACATTTATATGCCTAAAGAAGTGATCACTATGATAAGTCCAGCAACCCTCTGACACTATACCATGCTATCACAATTTGACTATATTCCCTATGCTGTACATTACATCCCTATGACATTTGTTTTATACCTGGAAATTTGGACTTCTTATTGCCTGTCACCTCCCCCCACCTTTTTTAAAATTTTCAATTACAGTTGACATTCAGTATTATTTTATATTAATTTCAGGTGTACAGCATAGTGGTTAGACATTTGTATAATTTAAGAAGTGATCCCTCTGGCTAGTCTAGTACCCACCTGGCACTATACAT